GCCTACTTTTACTGAGCCAGGCTATCTGATCAAACCTATAACACATAGACTAAAATGCAAACAAATCAAGGAAGTCAAAAAATAGGAAGCGAGGGGCAACTGCACCTTTACACACCAAGACTGAACCTCGAATAAAGGGAAAGTATTTCTGAGACTCCTTTGCCAATGCTTTATTTTTCTTCTTTTTCCCCTTTCTAGTAATTTCGTTCTCCTGATGAGGGGGGGGGGAACCTTTAGTTGCCCTCGAAATCGATTGAGTGTTTTAACATATGTACGCTAAATACAAGGTTGTTATTGCAATTTTAACAGTTGCGAGCACTTTCTTTCCGTTACCCGCTACTAGTGACGTCATGATACACTGCCAAGAGCTTGTTCTTTCGTGCATTATCATCCACCTCAGTCCTGTGTGACAGTGTATTATTATTTATTAAAACAAAATAACCGTAAAACCGTAAAAACATTCCGGAAAAGACGCACGTGGGGATGGATAGCTTCAACACAGTAAAGATTTCTCGTAAGTGAACCTCTGTAGAAAATGTAAAGCTCCGTTAGTCCGCTCATCATAATGCCTCCCATTACAAGCATTCCCAAAACCAACCTAAAGGTCTCTTGCCATGATATTAATGGGAGGAAAGCGTATTCCTACCTCACTCTATATCAGCTGTAACAAAGTCCATTACTGTAACAAACAATGCTCTAACAAAGTTCTATAAGTGGTAATAATTATCGTATGTTGTTATATGCCATACGTACAGATCAAGTAATATACAATTACTATATATTCAGTAATTTTCTTTCTCTTCAATTACTTATAAACAGCTCTTGATTATTTTGGAAACGCATTCAATATATTCTAACGAAAATTACCAAGCATCTAAGATTTTAATGTAAATAAAAGTTAAAACGAAAATAGGAAATAATACAAGGAATCAAATTTAAACAGTTAATTTTCCTTAGATATATGTGGTACTTATGCATTATATTCCCAACACCATCTTCAGATATTTACTTTCTAAGCAACCTGCCCAAGTGATATATTGATCATGTGCAATACATCCATACAAGTATGTATGCATGGTACTTCCTTATTATAATGCTCTTGGCGATAACGTTACTGGCTCCTTTGCATGACCATTTTGTGAATCATAACCACATATCCACAAACAGGAATTCAAATTTACTTATGTCTATATGATATTTACATTTAAAAACATCAGACATCATAAGTCATATTGAGCAATTTTTTATTATTATTATTAAAGAGAAATATAAGTACTAAAGTAATTAAATGTAAAGAAATATATAAATACTAGTGTATTTAACAGCTCAATTGCACTACTTAAATGTTAAAGTCATGAAAGAATTTAATGATATATATACTGTAAAAAATCTGATGTGTACACCACATGACTTCCTTGTACGGAATATTAAATTATACGCATTTTCTCTTGCATTTCCTTTGAAACTTATTGTATTGAATTAAATCTACTTCGTCGATAGCGCATAAATTACGATAGAATAAATGCACTCTAAAAATTCACTATATTTGTTTACCATAGTGACACTCTGGCGCTAGATTCACTTAACAGCGTTATATTTTGTTCATATTTTAACTCAGAATGCACACAAAATTTATATCATTTGAAGAATTATCTAATCGTTGCCACATGTTCTATTCAAATACTATAATAAATCTAGAACGATGTATAAAAGAACTTATGCAAACAAAACAAAAAAGAAACAGTTCTTCACAGATGATTCAGTATTTCTCATTTAATTAAATCAGTTGTCATTTCGCGACAAGCAAAAATACATAAAAACTCAAAATATCTATATTAAAAATTACGAAGTAAATCTTAAACACTTATTTCCTCGAAAAAATTCCAGAAAGAATTAAGCATGATTTAATTCGAAATAATAAATGAAGGCGTTATCTTTGTAGTTGCGAAGCTTAGTCTCCCTAGATTGGCAACAAATCTACTATTCTGTTGTTTCAAATGTAAAGAAATATGTCCGCCATGTTATTTAAAAATTAGGCTTAACCGCACTTAAACAGCTTTTAACTTGTGAATAATTCTACAAATATTGCTTTCAGATTTCCTAAAGGCATAAAAACCTTAACTGGAAGATAAGAACAACACAATTCAATCGTTTTTAAAGAAACAAATGCACAATTTACAAACATATAAGAATAAAGAAACTGAGCTCACTGAGGCGGGTAACAGAGTGGATATATATATATACGTTTGGTGTGACTGATTGCAACCAAAATACGAGGTGGTTATCTACATGTTATAGCAGTCATATATACAAAATTTCAACTTTCTGAGGCTACTCGTTTTAGAATTATGCGAGATACATATGTACGTACAGACACCACGAAAAGTTCTCTTCAGAATTAGTTTTAAAGCAGTTTTATATATAGTATATATATGTGTGTGTGTGTGTGTGTGTGTGTGTTTTTCTTTTTGAGGAAAAGAGTCCTCTATTCTGTCCTTACGTACAGATGTCATGCAAAAACATCGTTAAATTGCATTCGATAGCGGTCAAAATGGATATTTTCGTTGATATATGCTGCCTGAAACTTTTCGCGATTACAATACTTTCTTTTTACTTCGTACAAAGGAAGTAAAAATCAAGCTTTTCATTTAGCAATGATCTTTAATTACATCACATTTTTCGAAAACAAGTTAGAGGGTTTCCCTTATTTTACATAATAAATTATTTTTAGTACCATTCCTGAACCTCTCATTTAACCCTCGCAATTACTCTCCAAGATGGCTTGGTTTATTAGATTATGGCAAATCACTCGAGGGCTATCTGCCTTAAGGGAGGGATGCCTTCGTGGAGGACTTTTTAAGGTAAACTGGCTCGTATACACGTTACATATGGTGAAAACCACGAAAACACCCATGCAGCCAGCCCGTTCGCGGGATTCGAACCTCGGACCGAACTACCAGTGTTTAGCGACGTTACCGCTCGGCCGCTGGTGGGACTTCTCTCCAGGATGCAAATTTACAAGTCAGGCGAAATGAGTATTTAAACGGATGAATCTTGTAGTTTATTCATTTTTAACTTTTTCATGACTTTTCGTCTAAGCCAGTTATGTTTTGGCTCTCTTCTTTTACGTTTTCATGAAGTTTTGTGTTTTAGATTATGCATTTGTTTCTACTTTCAGCGCCTTATTGCATCTTACTGCAACTGAGCCGACAAAAAGCTAGTTTAATATACTAGCTAGGCGCGGCATGCATCGGAACAGGAACAGTTTATTCAGAGTTTGATTTCGCCAGAAATCCCACGTTACTATTTTGTTTTTGCTGTTAAACAAACACTTCCCAAGACAATACAGGACCATGGACAACACGGCCTTGTTCACAGATTACTATTGCCTAAGGGGAATAAGAGAGATTTTCAAATATGTTAACGAAACTCCAAATAATCCGAAGGTATCCGAATGCAGTAATCCAAATCCATTTATAAAACGTGTTGGGCATGTAGCTCCTGCACATATTGTTTATATCGTATCGTGTAAATGTAATTTTTCTTTGTAATATCTTAAATAAAGGATGTATGTCCACAGTTGTCGAACGACCAGAGTGATTCGGTCGCACCCTTAGTGCCTATGGCGGAGCAGGTTAAGGGGAATATTTGAATTGTTACGCTGAAGTCACTGATATGCCTTTTTGGCCATTTAACAAGTATATCGCCGGGTAGATTGTTGAGTTAGCCTAAATAGCCTTAAAATAAATTGCAAGTTCAGCACTACTCTTTATCTCTGAATTTATTCTGAAACTATTCTTAAGTTCCATTGCAAGTCGTAGCTGTTATTGTAAGCATGAAGTACATGTATTTGTTTTAAGATTTTGACGAATAATAAAGGGTTATTTTACCCTCTCTTCTGTGCTGGTATTCTTTTACACCTGGGCGAGAAGTCGGCAGGTTTCCTTAGTGAGACCTTTGTATGATAGCAAAGAAGGTCAGCTACCACAAAGTCATTTTACTTCTCATAATATTTAACTTCAACTTTCATTCAATTTCATTTATTCGAAGATTAAATTTAATCCCCCGTCCAGAGATCTCCAGAAAAAAAAAAAAAAAAGTTCTGTAAAATTTTTCGAGCGTCTTTCTGAAGGTAGTGTTTCAAACATACTACGTCCTAAATATCTTCCTAAGTGTTAAAACGTATACACACCTAATTTGCTAACAATGCACGTGATTTAAAACTTTAGTGTATCTGGAGAGCTTAAATTAGAACTTCAAACATACTTCAAGATAGAAGTATGTTTGAAGTATGTTGTATGTATCTAACTCCTGAAGTTTCTGCAGCACTGCACACTAGCTTCACTACCGATTTACAGCAAAACTTCTTTAAACATAGAAATATCTTTACAATCAAAATAGGGCTTAACCTGGTCCATCTTTGTCACACACTTTGTGGACCTCTTTAAATATTTTGAATTTTGAATTTCTGCACTCTTTGTTGTACGAAGAATAACTTGTCCAATGGAGTTAACAACTTTCTCTCGAGAAATAGTTCAGCAGGCGTTTTGCCAGTAGTATCATGTTTTGCTGTTCTGAGTGTAAAGTAAATTCCAGGACTAATTAAATCAATATCACAGTAAGACTACAAACTACTGTAATGCTTCGGAAATTCAACCGATATGAGATTTAGAATCAGGACCTTATGATATGCAAACGATTGTGCTACTGTTGCGCTGTCGAAGTCGTAATGAGGGTCTTATAATTAGTGCAAGAGTCGATGACTATGATTTGAATATTTAAATGAGTATTTTTCTAATTTTAAAATTTTGACGTAACCTGACCGAATGTGTACTTACGACTTTCTTTCATTTTTTGGGAGAGGGGAGAAGGATTAATTTGGATGCTCAAAAATAGTATACGTATTAATAGTAATAATATAAAGTATACATATTGATAGTGTATAATATAAACATTTTGTACCTTTTGAAACACATATTAATGATTTCTTTTATTTGCAGATAGAACGAGTATCTCGAGTCGTAAGTATGAATATTTCTAAAGCTCTCTAAATTATCCTTCAGAGCTGGCTTACGCATTTGAATGTGTAATTTCTAATCCAGTAATTAAACCAATTTAATAAATGAATTTATTTAATTTCTTAGATTCAAAGAGTTCCAATTTCCCTCATAACTTGAATAATATTAATTAAAAACCGAAATATATATTTTATTGCTGATTATATCCCATCAAGTCGTTTGCCCGACACTCAGTTGCAAGCCAACTCACTTGCCCGAAGGGTGCGCTTGCACGACCGCTCAGTTGGTTGACACCAGCACTCCATCAAAATAACCCCCAAGACTAAATAGCTCAACAAATAGTCCCGAAGAAACAGCCCAAGACTAAGCAACCTTTATCTAAAAGAACCGGATAAAACAGCCAAACTCTGAATATTTATCAAAAAAAATATTTTTTATGCAATACTAATGCAATATATTACAATATCAATATAGAAAAGTTAGATTTCTAGATTATGTGAAATGGCACGAAGTCTATATATTCCATGTTTGCATAGCTTTCCGCTAATACCTATAGGCGTTGATTAGGTTGTATATGTTTAGTTTTGCTTGCATCTGAGTTGCGATGAAAGCAAAACTTGCATCAAGGTGGATTACGCGAATTTCCACCATAGCCTGCTCTATCTGGAAATGGTCCATGAGTTGGTAGACGGATGGATGATGGCAGTCGACAGTTTGTTATGGCACGCTTCTACCAAATTGTTTGTCCTCGGAAGATCATTATATATTCACCCCAAAGTATTTATTTTAATTACTTTTATAACACATGAAATTAATCTATTGTTGTGTAGAAGCTGTAAATATTCTCGTGCATTATTAAACGATAATTATTTACGCTTTAAAGCCATTTTGTTGGGGATACTTTGATACAGGCTATTTAGTATTGAGCTGTTCAGCCAGGGCTCTTATGGCCTGACCTATTTTGAAGGGCCATTAGCCTGAGGGGCAAATTGTTTGCCCGACAGAATCCTTTTTATTAACCACTAGATGGCAGGTTATTACACTTCATGAAAATGGCCCTAAATATATATGTATGTTGTTTTTTAATTTGTAAATATTTATTCGTAACTTTGTATTTCTAAAGAACCCCTTTTTTCTCCTATTTTTATTTATTTACACCAGTTAGCATTTCTTCTGTTCGAATGTTTCTCAAATATACTACTGCTTCCCACGAGCATTTTACTGATTCGAATTCGTGGATATCTATTTCAGCGAGTCGGAATCCCTCAGAGATGTGTTGTTAGCGCTTTCGGTCATTAATTAGACGGCGGTTTAATTTTGCCTTCCATGTTCTGTATATAGAACCCAAAGAAAGAATACAGAAAATAACGCTTCAGCTTACTAGCTAAATTACTAAAGATACTATATGTAAGGTATTATACAACTCTTGGAGCGGGGGGCTCTTGACCTAAGGACTATTGCCAAACGTGATTAGTGTCACCCCGCCCACTAAAAAATCTATAATGTTGCGATCCCACAGAGCAAGGGAAGACAAGGCAGTACCCGTACAGTCCCTGCCGAGCCTTACTCTGTCCTGAGAACCTTCAGACGAAGTCTGTTATTAAGCCCCCGTCGTTGAGACTGCCTTGGTACAGATCCTAACCAGTACTTCCCAGGCATTCGCCTAAGTGAACCCCCGGGGGGGAATAAGGTATTATACAGTACCTCATTATTACACATTATACAGTACCTTGAAAACACTGTGTAGATTCTGCGCATGTTGGAATCCATGTTGGATGGTTGTTTATGTGCTCCCGCTTAAAGTTGCTATTTTCCTGTGTAAAAGTTAATTGTGGATTGTGAAAGTGTATAATTATTTTAATTAAGTGTTCCGCTTTCGAAAAAGGTATTGTGCAAGTTCTGAAATTGGTTTGCTTTCAAGATATGAGGAATTTAAATTCTGTCTACACCGGAACGCCCATCTTGCATGGACGAGTAGGTTTTACATTGATTATATGATGAATTATTTCTCCAATTTTAATTTGTCGGCTGTTTTAGACTGTTACATGTTCTATCTAGTTGTATATTTAAGAGCACAGTTCTATCTTTCATGGTTTTGAATATATTTGAATTTGAAATTGTAGAGTGAGCTAGGCCTAACGAGGCTGACATTTGTTTATATTAGAAGATTTATGTTATTGGAAGGAATAATCATTTGGTGCACCATATAAGAAAGTCTGCACGATGGAGAAACAGGTCTGACATATTTTTGTGCATCATATTCTACGTCTTTCAGCCCGTTGGTCGATTTGCTCAGCTTTTATGCTAGAACTCTCGTTTTTATTGTAAAAATTATTTCACGCATTGCAGATACTGATTTTAGCATTTTATGGATACTTTATTGAATTTTAGAACTTTTATGGATTTTTGAAGAGAATTTGCTGTATTGGAAATTGATTTCTATCTTTTTTAAGAAGTTTTAACACTATAGATGTATTAACTTTGAACTTTTAGGGTTTTTAGAGTTTTATTATATTAGGATTTGTCTATATGCATTGATTTTTATGAGGTAATTTGACTAGTTTGTCCCCAAGCCGACATATTATAATTACTGATCCAAAGATGAGTCAAAACGAACTTTCGGTTACTGATACCATCTTAGATTTTGCAAGTAATGAATATGATATTCTGACGGTTATGTGTAATATGAATAAGATCGTTGACACGTTGAGGGAAAAGAGAGTCCCGAAGATTCTTATTGCGAATTTAAGTAATGGTCTAAATTTTATAACTGACTGGATTGCTAAAAGAGAGACAAAATAATGTAAATGATAATGAAAGATTGATAGTGAGTAAATTGGATGCGATTGAAAAAGAGGTCTATGAAATTAAGGAGAAAATGGCCAATGAAACTACTCGAGAAGGACCATGGATTCAAATTAGATCAAAAAGAAATGGGAGGAAGAGAGAAATGAATAGAGAAGATAATTTAAGAGAAAATGAGGTCATCTTACGCCCGATGAAGGATGGAGTTGATGTTTATGAAGAAGTTAAATCCAATGTAGACCCACAAAAGATAGGAATTGGAATAGTTAGTTCCTTTTGCCGCAAGAACGGTGATATGGTGGTAAAACTTGAAAATCGGAATGAATGCAAGAGATTAGAGGAAGTAATTAAGAATAATGAGAAAATATGTTCTTTAGTAAGACCAAGAAGAAGGAAATTTATTAGACCAAAGATTGTTATTTATAACGTTTCAGAAGAAGTATCAGACGATAAGATTACGCAAGCACTTAAAAGAAATTGCTGTTGTGAGGGGAATTGTGTCAAGCCGTTATTTAGAATGAGGGCCTCAGAGCAGTTCGTGTCACATCGTGTGTATCAGGTTACTAGAGAATGCCAGGGTAACACTATTGAAGATCAACGATTAAGGATTGATTGGAAGGCCTATAGTACTAAGATCTTTTTAAGACCTAAACGTTGTACTAACTGTTTGGCCTTTGGACATTCAAAAAGATTTTGTGAGAATGTCAAATATGTGCCGCCTGCTCTAAGGAGCATGGAAAGGAAGATTGTCAAAGTGAAGAGTTTATTTGCATTAACTGTGTGGAATTCAATAAGAAGTTTCACACAGATTTTGATGTACACCATCATGCTTTTTTCTAAGGATTGTTCCGTATACTTAGAGGAAATGAAATTTATAAAGGATCATTTGGACATCTAGATTTTATTGAGAGATTAGGTGTCGGCGGGGACTTTTTGTTGTTTATTTTTTAATTCAATACTAAAAAGGAGTGTGATATTGTTTATCTTATTTTACTTTTTCTGTTATTATTGATTGGCCTTTGGGTAAGTATTTATTTTGGAAGCCAGTAAAGAAGAAGAAGAAGAAGATTTTGCCCTCACCCCTGGTAAGCTGCTCTGGTTTTAATAAAGATTTGAACCTTCTGGTGTTGATTTTATTTATTTATGTCAATTGAACTTTTTACCAAGACTTTTACTGGATTTTAATTGATTGATTTTAATACCGTTTTTATTTGTACATATTGATTTTAAAATATTGCTTTTAATGTGGATTGGTTTTTATTTTGTTATACATGAATATTTTAAAATATTAATTTAAATCATTGTGCGGGGCGGCCGCTTCTTGGCAGCTCTCTGCAATTAATAATATCATTAAAGAGCCTTTGAATGTGATTACGCTGCAAGAGCCCTATACTATTAAGGGTAAGATTGCTCATCTACTTGGAAATTGGAGAGTTGTAGGAATTGATAATGGCAGGACTGGTATTATTGTTGCGGATAGCAATTTAGAGTTTACAGTAGATGTACTTCAGGATTGTATTGTCGCAATCACTGTTTTTCCTGGATCAAGTTAAATTAGCTTTTATTTCAGTTTTATTTTCACATGCAGAGGATTTGGAGATGCATTTATTTCAACTTGAAAATGTTTTTAAAACTCTATACTTATGATTTTATAGTTGTTGGTGATTTTAATTCCAAGAATTTTTAATTGGGGAGCTAGGGAAATGGATCAAAGAGGAGTTTTAACTTATGATTTTTATTGTACAATATAATTTGAAGCTTTTAAATATTCAAGATTTTACTCCAACCCTTTTTTTCCTCTGTGGGGAGTGGCTGGACTGACCTTGCACTTTGTTCATCTGGCATGGATATCAGTAATGTTAAATATGAAGTTCTAGATTTGGATACCCTTAGCGACCACAGATATATTTTGATTAATTTGAATGATATTAAAGTCAATAGTGACATTAGAAAGAAGTACTCTAGAAACATTAAAAGAATTGAAGTAAGTATGGTGAAGAAGAGTCGCAGGGATATTTTTGATATTGAAGACAAAGTTAGTTGTTCCTCCAAACGCTTTAGAGTTGAATAATTGTATTAGTGAAATGGAGAGACTGTTGATTAGTAATATGAATAGATATCTATTGATTAAGAAGACCTTGCAACATAAGAACTATACCGTATGGTGGACTAATGAATTGGACAGTCTTAGAAGGAAA